ACTGCTCTGTTGCCTGTCAGGATCTCTGGGAGTCAGAATTCCTTTATGCTGGTAGAGGGCATGAAACATGAGGGGCTGAATGCACTTGGATTCAAAACTTGTCTTAAGCCATTTAGAGTTTTTGCAGTATTTCCAAGTATTTCCCAAGCAATGTTCTATTTTCATCAGCAAAAGAAACAAAACAAAAGGACTTGTTCTCATTGTTAAGCAATTGTTATCAGGATCTGGCTAATTTTATTTTTGAGCATAATTACGGAAAGTTCAGAGTAGGATTTATTTTATTGTAAATAAATTGTGTAGGCTTGGTAACCTTGTTTAACTTACACAATGAAATTGCTCTGACTTTATCCTTCCCTTCATGTTAAGTGAAGCTCAAAACAATGCAAAGAAGCCAAGTCAGAAGAAAAGTGCTGCTCTGACTTTTACAAGAAAAGGCAAGTGCACACAGATTTTTGTGCTTGGAGGACTCTTCCAAGATCAGATGGGTAGGAACTGTGACAAACTAAAAGAGCAAGTCTTATTTGTTAGGCAGCTTTAAAGTAATATAAAAAGAAGGGTCCACAGAGCAAGGTAAATTGTTCCCTGACATGGTCTCACATGCAAAAACTAATACAAGTTGAAGATAGTAATTAAAAAAGCTAAGGTAGCCTACTACTTGTTGAGTGATCCCACCAGAGAAGTCGATATGATTTGCAAAAAACTGGTTCATAACTAGCTTAGATCCCCAGGTTTTATTTCAAAAAATCCAGATGGCTGGGAACATATTCTTGCATGTTTGACATTTTATTACACCTAAAAGGATTTTTGGCAGCACTGACAGAATACTTGAATTCATGCTGTCAATAGTTCATTACACCTATATCACACTGATTTAGTGTTTGTTACAGTAGAAAAGGGGAGGCTTCTTTGTAAAGTTTACCTGGTAAATGAATTGGCTCCTGTTCAAAACAGACTGAAAGTACAGCGAAAAAAGAAATACAGCATACATCAAAGGATGAGTTTTGGTACTGCTGTTATTTCCCTCTGTCCTAACGTCTTTTTTTTTAATAATGGACATGTTTGATATGTATAAACAAGATTTTCCTGGGTGGTAGCATATGGTCTTGTTGCTACACGTAGTTTCAAGACAGACATACAGCTCAACATCAAAGAGAGGGAACAGCATGGAAGGCTTGAACAGACATTTATTGATTTATAGAATGAAACATGTTCCTCAGTCCTTGGCAGGGTCTAAAGGAGAATAGATCACACAGTGCATCTTCAGCAAAGTTACCTCTGATGGATAAAAGTTAAAATAGTTCAAAAACAATTCAGAATTTCAGCCCAACCTTTCCCAGTGAAAGGATTTCTCACTCACAACTTAAGAGCTGTACTTCTGATAGAGATATATGAATGTTCAGTGTTACTTTTTTTTTTTTTCAATCAGCACTATTCCAGGCCAGTCCTTTATTATCTCTGACTAAATTAAGCTCCCTGACATGTTGAGTCAAGTGTTGTATTTCCTACAGCGATGTCTAAGACAACACACCACATTTCAGAGCAAAGGAGTAGGAAAACGGATTTCCCTAGTGACAATTTTAAAAATAAAAGTGCATCATCTGGATATTTATACATGGAGTCAAACCTGGAAATTCTAACATTCATTAGTGACTTTTTCTACCTAATAGATAAATAACTCATAAAGACCTGAGAGATTGACCCCTGATTGTAGAAAAGAGCTAGAGATAGAAAGTGGATCAAAACCAGTAACCATAGTTTGATGCTGTAGTGATTTAAAATTTACTTGTTCCCTAGACTGCACAGCTGAACTTCCCTGTGAGATTAAAGACAAATTTGCAAATTGGGCCATTTATTAGGTCCCTAATTAATACTGATGGACTATCTTCAAGGATTATGTATCTGGAAAGCTAAAGTTGGCATTTTCTCAGGATAGTAAAATTAAAATCTGTAAAATCTGTAAAAATTGCAAACTCTTTAATGACAGCAAAGAGTCAAGTGATCCCACAAAGAACTAACTGACCAAACCAGGGACTGTGAAACAAAATTGTCTGCAGTACTGACACAGAAATCTGTGCATGGACGGTCTCTGCAACGAGCGATGTAGATGCACGGATACCTTTGCGAGGCTGGAAGATGGGGTCTACAAGGTTTTCAAGGTTTCTACCAACCCTATTTTTTGTAATCCTCTTAAGAATCCCTTTCTCTTTGCTTCTGAAACTTCTATAATTTATTCCACAACAGCACCCCAGACAAGTTCCTCACGTAGACAAGCTTCATCGTATTTTTCAAGAGCTTCGATCCTTTGTGTCTTTTGTTTAACAAAACTCCCAGCAGGCGCCATCGTGATACTAACTGAGCTTCACATTCCAGGGGGTGGAGAGATGGAGTGGTTGTCAGTGTTTTCCAATTCAAATATAGGATACCTGCCCCTGATCTTGTAGGATCTGAGGAAATCAAACTACTAGCAAATTAGTAAGGCTGCACTGGGGTCATTAATCATAATTTTACCTATTGCTGATAGGCTTTCTTTTAGCTATCGATGGAGATCAGTGATCTGAATTCTAAGGCACTGAATTTTCAAGTGACCGGAGGGAAGACAGACACATACAAATCAGTGTCCTACTGACGCCACATTCCATAGACTATAATCTTCCCAAGAAAAAGCAAGGTCATACATTGCAGGTTTGTTTAGAAAACGTAAAATCAAAACTCCTAACCTTTTCCAGGACTAATGGCTGTCAGGAGAGGCTTATGATCACTCATCTTTTCCAGCTTTTGTTTCTGTGAAATCAGCTCAAGCTCCTTCTTTTCCAACAGTTTGCTAGATGGGTAAAAAAGTCCAATGGTTTGGGTTCCTTTTTCTTCTCTTTCTCTTAGTTCTGCCCTTGATTCGGGCAAGGAAATAGGAAGAGGCTGCCAGGCAACTTCAGCTTGAAATCGTTTAGCCTGTGGGGAGTGGAGGGGAAGGAAAAATGTAAGTAATACAATTAGATATAATTAAATGGCTTACCAGCAGGAAGTAACTAGAACAGTATACAAGATTGTAAAGGAATGAAAAAGCTAGTGGGAAGAATCAGTAACAATTCTTGATTTTAATTACCAGTCTGTAACAATGAAGTATCTTATCACAAATATTCAAGCAAAAGCAAAGGTCTTCATGATTGCCAGCAGAATGACGTGTATACTATTGGAGAACAAAAGCTGGCCTTGCTAAGTACTAAGGTCTTTCTTAAAACAGAGTTTTCAAAGCACTGTTACACATGCGTGAAAGAATACTTTGTATCAATAGGACACAAATAATTCACAAGTAATAAGATAAAAGTAGTTAAAGAGCTAAGACTTTTGAAAAGCTGATTGTTTCTCACTTTCCTATTTAGAATAAGGCTGGATTAAGGCCTTTGGCTAAGGCTGCTTTCCAGCAGAAAGCAGTTCTCAGAATAAATATATCCTTGGTTTTGCCCTGAGCGTGCTCACAGACCACAACGTTGTCTCTAAGAGGAAATCAATGAAGTTATGCCAATCTACACCCGCAGCGGACTAGCCTTGTAGCTGTGTTCAAGACCAGCTTTGTGATACTGTGTGTCTTACCTCAGACGGCCCAGCATCCACGAGACTGCCGTTCTGAGAACCCACCCTTGATGGGGGCTCTATGTAAACACCACAGGACCCACAGAAGCGAGCGTATGGGCGGTTGCTTGTACCACACTTGAAACAAGTAAAGTAGGATGGAGGAGGTCCTGGCTGGAAAGTTGAACAAAACACTTGTCACAACACAAACATATGAGGGATGGTTCAGGAAAGATAAAAGCAGTGACATGAATTAAAAGGAAGTAAATCAGTACTACCTAAAGCTATTAGATTAGAAGTATTAACCAGGATACCAGGCTGCTAACACACTGGCAGATGCAAGACAGTAAATCTTCAGCTATCTCAGCACTCTGCTATGGAGGCAAACATTTCTTGAGACAGATCTAGCATTTTGGTATGCTATTTTTTAACATACATTTTCAAAAATATTTATTTTCTTTGCCAAAACCTTGCCATTACTAGTGTGTGCTCTGACATTGAATATTGACTGCAATTCTTTCCTGTTCAATGCTAAGACTACCCCCACCACCCTGAGTCCCCTGGTACGGTACAGGACCAATGGTTATGTATGCATATATAGGGGAGTGTTTAACATTTTATGTAGGCTCCGCTCACAGAAGAAAAAAAAATTCTTCCCAAGTGTGATCTTAGCTTAAAACACTGTACTTATAAAAATACATGCCAGAGCAAATTGGTTACATTGATTGTACCATGCAAAAGCTCTACTGAGCAGCAGTTAAGAGAAAGTACTTGTGTTCAGTGAAGTTAATGAGGCCTTCAGCCCCAAAAAATTGCATGCATCATCTCATCTCTGGCGATTACCTGTGTAGGTGATCACAGCCCAGAGTAGATATGGGAAAACTTGTATTAGGTTAGCCTATACTTTAACCTTTGATGGTTAAGTTACTCTGGCAGAGTACACAGCTATTGCATCTCAACTGATACAATGAGCTGATGCTCATTGACCCATGGTAATTTGTTTACATCTCTAAACCCTTAAGTCACTGACTGACATGGGGTCAGGATGTCATCTAAGCCTTTAATTTTTCTTTATATAATCCTATGCACTCTAAGCAAGTATTTTGATAATAATAAGCTATGTACTAACTGACTAGAGTTTTTCAAAGATAAGTTTGAAATTGCTGCAGGCCACTGATGAGTAAAAACTCATTTGTCAACACAAACACCGAGAGCACGTGCCTTAGCTCCACACCAGTCACAGAAATGGGCATCACTTTGGTTAACACGATTGCATTTTGAGCACAAGACTGTCTTCCTTTGCTGGCTGGAATAAGGTGAGAGGGTGTCTCCTCCAAACACGGGCTAATAAAACAAAAAAAAAGCATTAGGGAGAAAATAATTTCATGAAGAAAAGTTCACAAGCTAAATAAGCTGAAAGAGGAAAGCAAGCTACTTTGATAACATAAAGCAATATTCAGCCTAAAAGAATTATTTCAACTTAGAATAAGCAACAGGCTGACTTGGAACTAACCTGTAACTTTTTTTCATTACAAAGCCACAGTAAAATGTGGCATTAATAAATTTTAAAAGATTTTTAGCAGAACTGAGTGCAAAAAACCTTATCAATCATGTCCTTTTACACTGAGTATTTATTAATATGGCCCCATGTATAAGTACACTCAAAGTTAAGAGGGACATTTCTCTGCTGATAAGCTTATATTTTCAAATCCAGAACGAGACAGCTATTTTTCTTTGTACCCTTCTTTGTAGTAGTGTGTCAGGGAGAATGTGTTCAGACAATGAGTTTTCTCTCAGTTTGATACCTGCTAGATAAATATTTTTTTGCACTCTTACCTCATTCAAGTTATATATTACCTAGCTTTCCTACTACAATTAACTTATATAGGTATGCAAAAGGAAACAGATTTTTCAGCTGAAATTTCTAGAGGTCAATTATAGATCCTAGTTAGGACAAATAGGTCTTAAAACATTTTGTTAGGTTTTGCCTCAGGGCTTATGCAGTTTATTTTCTCTGTGAGGCAGGAATATGGATAAGGAACAGAACCGAAAACAGAAGAAAGTTATTTTGATTACAGACACCACAACAGCAAGTAAGCAAATACCAAATAGCCCTGTTTTAATCTGTGGCCTCCATTGCAGTTTGAATGATGTAACTTGGGGGTTCATTTAGAAGATAAAATTTACAAAAACACATCTAAAGCACATGTTCTAAGTCTAATTTATTTAATAATCATTAATAGTAATATCAGCATTATTCCTAATTATTAATTATTCAGGATTACTCCTGTTATCACTAATTAATCACTATTATTAGTAAAATTTCTGATTACTATTAATAACAATTCAGTAAGCAGTTAACTTTCTATCTTAGCTATAACAGGTCTCACCATTCAAGTCATATGCCTAACTACATATGCAGCTCCATATTAATATCTACATTCAGTGAAGCAGTTAAACATATATTTATCTTGGATAAGTACAGATTCCTACTGAAATTCACTTTGAAGTGACACCTCCATGGCTATACAAGAGACCTTTGCCTCTAGTTACTGACAGTTTTACAACTCAGGATGTTGCCAGTATAATCAGAAGATTTTAACTTGCAAATCATTATTCTTCTCTCATTTCTGTATTTACCACAACCTGTAGAAGTGAAATGTACCATAAGGTTTTCCTACAAGACTTTTCTTTTCAGAAGTGAAAGTCAAATTCTTCTATCAAACCAAATGAGCAAGGTAAATGGGGAGTTGAAACAGACAGCAATTTTAGGGGCAACATTTATTGTTGCTTTTCTCACCTCTGTGCAGAGTCACGGCCAAATACAAGCACAGTAGCTGTATGCACGTAGGGGAAGTAGCAGGTGGAGATAAGAAAAATAATGTAAAAGAATATTTTATTTTCACAAAATAATTGAAATCAACGAGAATGATCTTCCTGATGTTTATACTCAAGTTTTCTATTACAATTGAAAATAATTTGAACACAAGCATCCTCCCTCAGAGACAAGACTACCTGTTTTCTAAGAGCCTTCTCAGCTTTCACAATGGCATTTGCAATCCTGATCTCCACAGGAGACACTTGAAGCTATACGACACATTTCTGTTTAGCTGGACATTTGTGATGGAGCATCTGGGGAAATACTGGGCTTGAATATGGCACAGGTGAGGGATTTTCTGCTTTTGTAACATAGGCACATGGGGGTATGACTTCAGTTTTCCAAAGCAAAGGAATGTTATGCTTTGATTTGATTAACCCTAGCATGATTGATGCAAGAAGCCTTACCGTCTGTATTTCAGGCAGTTTGCTTTCACAAGTCACACAGAGTTTATGGTGAAGAGGATTTCCTGTGCCACACTCCTGACAAATTACTTTACCCTTTTAAATAGAGAAAGAATATATTTCACATAGTATTCGAAAACTGTGAACGACAATAAGAAGAGAACTTGATCTTACAAAGTGCTATGGTTATTCAGCCTAGCAAACAGAAGAGATCCTTCAAGTCTGTGCCGTGGGCTTCAGACTTTAGTTAGGCCATATTTCCTGGACATCACAAATCTACATATCTTGGTGACAATTTTTTTTAAACTATGGTACAGTTCCCTCAGGAGATCCAGCATCAATACCTCCAGATCTTTTCTATGTATTAGTGTCAGTTTGCTTAACAACAATGACAACAACCACCACCAACAACAATAATAACAATAATAATAATATACCATGAGGGTGCCCTAAAAGATCTTAGCATGGTCACTATCAACAAGTGAGTTTCCACAAGGGTTAAGAATAATGAGTCTGAGAAACTGATTGTTGGCTCTAGTTACTTCAGGTTTGTCTTTGCACCTACATGAAGATTGTCATAAGATATTAAATTTGGGCCAATGTCTATAATCTACTTTGACATCAAGCTGATAACTGCCTCAGATTATGAATCTCCTTTGTTATCTGATAGTCTTCAGTCAATAGTTGCCTTTCAGTATCCTTCTCTTTCCAAAAGTGTTCCCTTGAAATTAACACAGAACCACAGAATTGTTGAGGTTGGAAGGGGCCTCTAGAAGCTGAACCCTTGCCCTGCTCAAGCAAGGTCATCCAGAGCAGGTTGCCCAGGACCATGTCCAGATGGCTTTTGAATATCTCCAAGGATGGAGACTCCACAACCTCTCTGGGCAACCTGTGCCAGTGCTCAGTCACCGTCACAATAAAAAGTAAGTTACCTGATGTTCAGAGGGAACCTCCTGTGTTTCATTTTGTGCCCATTGCCTCTGGTCCTGCCACTGGGCACCACTGAAAAGAGCCTGGCTCTGCCTTTACCCCCTCCCTTCAGATATTTATATCCATTGATGAGGTTCCCCCAAGCCTTCTCTTCCCTAGACTAAACAGTCCCAGCTCTCTCAGTCTTTTCTCCAGATGCTCCAGTTCCTTAATCATCTTAGTGGCTCTTTGCTGGGCTCTCTCTAGTATATCCATGTCTCTCTTGTACTGGGGAGCCCAGAACAGGACACTGTACTGCAGATACAGTCTCACTAGTGCTGAGTGGAGGGGAAGGATCATGTCCCTTTACCTGCTGGTACCACACTTCCTAAATGCAGCCTGGGATATCATTAGACTTTTTCAAGCAGGTCCCTGAAGGTGCCAAAGTCTGCTCTCCTAAAGTTCAGGGCTGTGATCCTGCTTTTTGCCCCTGCTCCTTCCTCTCAGGGTCCTGAACTCCACCACCTTGTGGTCATTGCAGGCAAGGCTGTCTTTGACCTTCATATCCCCAAGAAGCCCTTCCTTCTCTGTAAGTATGAGACCCAGCAGAGCACCCTTCCTCCTTGGAACCTCTGGATTGCTTATGCCCTGCTGTGTTGTTCCTCGAGCAGATACCGGGGTGCTTTAAGTCCCCCCTGAAGACCAGGACCTGAAAATGTGGGTCTACTTCTAGCTGTACAGACAGCTGGTTCTTCCTGGTCAGGCAGTCTACAGCAGACACGCGCTATGATGTCACCCATACAGCCATGCGAGCCATCCTTTCACGTATCTGTGGTCCCATCAAGATCATAGCCCTGCAACTGCACACAGATCTCTAATTTCTTGAGTTTACTCCCCATACTGCCTGCGTTAGTGTACAGGTGCTTTAGAGAGGGACCCCAGCACGCTGATTTCACAGAAAGCCTCTTAGGGGTGGGGTGTTTCTCATCATGCTGCCTTATAGGCACCTTCTTACTTACATGCAAATGCTTGAGATGACCTCACTTAAGCCCTGTTTTGTTGATTTAGTGTTCCCTTTGCTTGTCAGCCCTGTCCATCACTGGACTGGGCTGCTGGTAATCCTCCCTTCCCTGTTCTTTCTCATTTAAAACCCTTCTTGCTAGCGCAGTTCTCCTGCTGGCAAAGATATCTTTGCCCTGTGAGGTGGATCCCATCTCTTCTAAGGAGATGTTGATCCTCAAACAGGGTCCCACTATCACAGAAACCAAAACCTTGTTGCCAGCACCAGCTCTGCAACCAATTGTGGTCATGCAGTATCAGTCCTCTCCTCACACCCTTTCCCCTGGCTGGGGAGATCAAGGAAGGCACCTACTTGGGTCCCCATACCCCTGGGTAGGGAGTATTTTGTAGGGCAAATTTTGCCTAGTTAAGACCACCAGCACTTTTGGATCACTGATCAAGACTGTGGGCGAATGTTTTGGGCATATACCTACTGCAGCAGTCCTGCCAGCCCATCTGTGCTAAACACTTACAAACCAATGAGGTAAGCGGAGTAATGAGAACATATTTCATAAACTTAAAATGCTTAGTAATACTAAGGCCATAAATCATAGAATCATAGAATATCTCTCTACGAACACAAGTGCATGCATTCCTGTCATTCAGACTGCTACATCATGTGCTCTTCAGCATGCCTTCCTGAGCTTATACGGTTTACCTCTAATGACTATTTCTATTCAAGATGGTTTTAATCCTACTAACTCTTAAAGCTGTCATAATGTAGTTACGCAAACCCAAGTTGGATCAAAATATTTGTAATGAAGTCATCTGTTAGAAAAATGCATGCCAGGAGGTAAACTGCTATTTTGTTACATTTATTCTCAAGTACCTTTATGCAGTTGTTGGTTTGGGGCTGCAGCTGTGGAGCTATTGGCGACTCACATACAATGCAAGTGGGTGTATTCATTGGCACAAGATGTCTGCATTCAAGACATGGTGCCATCTGAAGAAAAATCCACATCACATCATGCTAAGGACCATAACAAGATCATTAAGGTTATAATGAGATTTTCAATATTTTCCTGGTTATAGACTACACCAGCAGCAAAGTCACTGGAAACATAGCAACTGACAGCAACAGATGCTGACATTGATCCTGAAAGATCAAATGCTGTTGAGAAAATATGAAGACAACTAGAAAGAGAATGCTTTACTACTAAAAATATGCCAGAAAGGTACTAAGTTAATTTCAGTAAATTTAAAATGCTACTATAAAATGTGTCTCCCTCATTATGAACCTAATCTGAAGAGGTGCTCATTCATTACTTGAAACTACAGCATTGCCCCAGACAAGACAACTTTCTGATGACACAGGAAAAAAAAATACACCATTGACTTGTTAGATCAGGGTATTATCTCTCAGGAAGAGCTTAGAGAAGATTGTTACAGCCACCACTGTAAAAACTCAGTGCTCTTACATATGTCCACACTTGCTACCGTTTAAGGTTTCAGGCATATTAGATGAGTTTTGTACAGCTATGACATAGGTACTAGTAATTAACTAATTAACTGCACTAGTTAGCACTGGAATAAGATGCATATGCAGATGAAGATGCGGTGGTGGTTGTTACAGGATGAGGAGGAACCTGAATTTGATGATATTTCCTGGCACAAGTGAATAAAACACAATTTACTTTTCCATTGTTACCCTTATTAAAATATATGGCACTTGAAGCAATCTATGGTTAATTTTGCCAATCATTTAAGAATTACATAGGGTCCACTGCTAAAGATATCGAACAAGATAAACCAATCAAACAGAGCTTCCCAAATGAAAGTGTAAATAATGACTTTGCCTGCATTGAATGTGTAATTTGATGGGCAAATTGGTTTCTCCAAAGAGGATTTGTTGATTGTTATGATGTTTTGCTGACCTGTGCTCCTTCAGGGTGTGGGAAGTGACGTACTGGCATGGCTGGGATAGGAGATCCACACTCCTGACAGAAGTGAGCCAAGGGGTCAGACAGGCGAGGTGCAGAACAGTGTGCACATCTGAAAATAAGAGCAAACAGGCTGAGCTAGTTTTGGTATGTACTGCTGCATAATAATGATTAATCTGGAACCTGTTGTGACAGGACTTAGGCCACTGATTTCTCAGTTGTAGTTTCCAAGCTATCATGTCCAGGATGAGGTTCTGAACTCTAAACAGCTTTGCAAGGTAGAAAGCTCCCTGGCTGCTATGGAGTTTCATACTTTCTTCCTCACCATGTGAGGTAAACAAGTCTCCTGACATGCAACCTGTATCACTGCTACAACATGGGGAATCGCTGATGTAGATTGCATAACCCTTTCAATATTGATAAGCATTAATGTTCTGAGAGACTACTCCAGTGAGCAGTTTTCACCTACAGCAGTGAGGGCTGTACTCTAATTTGAAAAGACAGTTTTTCCTCTGATCCTACAGGTATTGAGAATTTTTTGTAAAGGATGATAATCATAGAATCATAGAATGTTTTGGGTTGGAAGGGAACCCTAGAGGTCATCTAGTCCAACCCCCCTGCAGTGAGCAGGGACACCGCTAACTAGATCAGGTTGCTCAGAGCCCCGTCCAACCTGTCCTTGAAGGTTTCCAGGGATGGGGCCTCCACTACCTCTCTGGGCAACCTGTTCCAGTGTTTTACCACCCTCATTGTAAAGAATTTCTTCCTTATATCTAGTCTAAACCTACCCTGCTTTAGTTTAAAACCATTACCCCTTGTCCTGACACAGCTGGCCCTAAGATAGTTGATAGTTGTGTATGGTGAGATGTAAATAAAACTATGTGTAAGAGAAAGAATTTTCAAAGCCCTATCTAGATCACATTCTCCAGTTATGAGCCAGTGTCTGTCTTTGCTTTCCTCGTTTTTATAAAGCCCCACAGTATTATCAACTTGGTTGCAAAAGGCAATTGCTCAGTTACTGTCCAAGGACAAATATGTTGAAAGGAGAAGCCACTTACTTGAGGAAATCAGTTTCCCTCTGGATCCTTGCCACCTGTGTGTTTCCTAAGCTTTTCTGGCTAGTCACTGCAGAAGAACTAGCAAACTGAAATAAAGGTAATTCTTTAGCCTTAGTAAGCGAATATTTGCAAAATGCATATAAAAGTAGCGAAATCAGCTGAAGATCTTATTTGGGACAAACTGCACTGAAATACTTTGCTTTAAGGAATATCTATACACTTGATTCCCCCATTAGCTGCATTAAGGACACACAGCTTCAATAAAAATAAATCAATGTCTTGCTATTTACTTCCAAGACAGCATTACTGAATATTAAGTTTCAAATATCAACTTGCCAACCTGTAGCAATAATTGTTTGCTAATTGCCCATTCAGTAATGTATTAGAAGAGAATGAGCAGGAAATAATTTGATTTTCCTGGTTTTGTTCCTACTGATAACTGGGTACTGCTTTGGGCATTCCTAGTCCAGTGTGTCATTACCAGTAAATTTAAATTAGTACTCTATAATACAGCCAAAGGCATTAATTTCCGAGAGTTTATATGAGAATGATCACAAATCTTCACATCTTTATTTTTTTAGAGCTCAGTTCCAATAACAGCCTTTTACAGTTTTCCTCAAAAGCCATTTGCTTACCTGTAACGACTCTGTTAGTGGTGCTGAGGTTGATTCCTCTCTGCACTCTGTTGTTTCCAAATGACTGGCAAGGAGCTGTGGTCCTTGTGGGGATCTGTGAGCAGTCTTCCCTTCTGTTTCCAAGTCTAAAATTACAATCCTGTTATTCAACTGTTATTCACTTCATGCAGTTAACATATATCTTAACATGAATATTACATACTCCCATTTTAAATTCCAATAGCTAAGAATATTTAAAAATGTATTTGACCTCCAGATTTTGGGTTCAAATAAACTGCATGGAATTACAGGAAATTAAACTAGAAGAAACCTCATTCCTCTCTGAAAAAGCTCGCTTTTGTATTTTTCTCTGTTTATGTTTTTCTTCCTTCCTGCATGTTCAGAGAAACCCCAGCTCCCAAGAGTAAATTAATGAGTAAACATTAATACAGTTCCCTGCTCTTAAACAGTCCCATTGCCATTACCATGGAATAACAGGCTTCATGTATAGACAAAATCTGGGTCAGGCTTTCATTTCTGCTTCATGCATTTATTTTGGAATCTTACTGCAAGTAAACATCAGTAAAGAGCTCTGTAAAGGATTTAACAGCATTTTCTGGCACAAAGGCTGGGCCTTATTATGTTGCTCAGAAATTAATTACTTCTTAGTATGTTTTAAGAGGTAATGTGATATGTATGGAAGTTAATTTTTGTTCTCTATTTGCAGTGTGGAGCAATCAAAATTGGAATTCCCAGAGGATGTTCTGTCTTTTGAGATGGTCCTCTGGAAATTCCATATTTACCCATATTTTACTAATGATGTAGGAGGAAAACTTTACACTGCCTATTTTCAGCTAAGAGAGAAGTCTATTTCACTCTTACGAAGTCATACTATACCTTGAAAATCTTGGGATGCTTCACTCCAGGCAGGCTTGATTTCCATGTTCACTCCATTCTTCTTTGGTTTTGTAGTAAACATCCCACCTTTCCTCTCCTAAAAAGTAATTCCATTTGAATTCCAAATTAAATATTTGGTTTTGCTCTAATCCTCTCATTATAGTTATCTGTCATGGTTTTAAAAGTATTTTCAATGCAAGCATTTGAATACCTTAAATGATAAATCTATTTGAAAAATATTTGACCTGAACTGGTAATGAAAGACAAGAGAAGAAGAAAAAAAAAAAAGGTCCCCTTGAAATTTTAGTATTACAAAAAGGACTGAGACAGCAAAGATGGGCAAACAGAGGTAATAAAATACATAAAAAGTATAGGCAATCAAGGTTGAATCTCTAGGTAATACCATACATACAACAGTTTATATTCAGACAAGGAGTTAAATTTGCAGAAACTTGCCTGTGAGGCGATATCTTTTAGGAAATTGTTGTCATTTTCTTCAACAGACAAGGGGATGTTTCGTTGCTTGTACTCTACCAGAAACACCTTTGTTACAACTGTACTCTCCCTGCAGTCCCTGAAAATCAATGTTCATAAAGCTATACGCAGGCCACAAACCCATGTGCAGCAAAAAGTACATCACTGATGAACACGGCTCATTTGCTGGTTCATCTCTTCCAAGCTTGCAAGTCATTATTTCAGTTAGTAAGTATAATCCTGGGCAATACTCTTAGTAACTACTGCCTCGTTTTGTCCTTTTAAAAATTTATTTTCAGTTTAAAATGTGCGCACTAAGAAGTTACCAATAAAATGTATGAATATTTTAATGCCCCAACATCTTTTACATATAAAATTCTTGATACTCCTGTGTCTGCTTTCTGGGGTAACTACTGTTTGCCAGCATTGCAGAAAATAGAGGAGAGCAAGACTTCTCTTCCATTCAGAATACCATATTCATTTTCCCAGTCAAGCAGCAGGTAGCATCCTATTCATTTGATATAACAACTGTCACGCTCCAGCATTTATTACAGCAGCAATGTTAAAATGGCTTTAAATGACCAATTTTGGATTTATCGTCATTCTAGAGCATCTATTTAGCCCACCTGAAAACATCTTAATAAAAACATACTGGAAACAAAAGTAAATCCGGATAGTGATATCGGAAGATATGCATAGGCCTAGCTTTGTGTTGTTATTTTCCAGTGTAGAAACAAGCAAAGGCTACCTGCAGGTGCTCATAGTGGGGAACAGCAAGCACAAATCCCCAGCTGGAGTGGAAGTTTCTGCTCCCTTTGAAATAGAATCATAGAATCATAGAATCGTTTAGGTTGGAAAAGACCTTTAAGATCATCAAATCCAACCATTAACCTAACACTGCCATCCCACCACCAAACCATGTCCCTAAGCACCTCGTCTGCCCATCTTTTAATACCTTCAGGGATGGGGACTCGACCGCTTCCCTGGGCTGCCCGTTCCAGAGCCTGACAGCCCCTTCTATGAAGAAATTTTTCCTGATGTCTAACCTGAACCTGCCCTGGCGCAAATAAAAGATAATACAACAGGGTAGAGACAGAGAATGCATGTGTCCTCTCTCTGTCTCTAAGCATGAAGTTAGTTTGGAGAAAGTCAGTGGCTGTGCAGCAAAATCCAGTTTTCTTTCTATGTGGTGTATTTTTACTTTACCCTTGTACTTTATGCTTGTACTAACATGGTACTTAAGCTGTGAGGTTTAGCATTCTGTGCTCCTTCAGGAGAAACAAAACAGATTCCTGGGAAGACCAGCTTCTGTGAATCTGCTGAATCACTGGATGACCCACCCCAGAAAAACCATACTAGTTCCTCTGACATTTTTTATGATTGTGCTCAGAAGGATGAGCTCTGAGTATAGTAGATTTTACTAGTTTCTCACCCACAGCCTCTACGGATCATTGGCCTACACCCGCAGCCCAGGAGATAAACATCCGAGAGATAATCCATCTGCACAAAAACTTAGTGGATAAAAAATGTTACAAGGAAGTGAAGTCAGCACAACCCATGCAGATCACTTAGACTGCAAACTGGCTGGAGAAAGGGACGACTCTCATTTGTGAGGTATGGAGTGCTTTAAACAGCATGGCTCCAAGCCATGACTTGGATATCTATCCCTTGTCAAAATAGGACTAAAATAAAACAGGATACTTACTTTGTAACTGCCAGTGCCTTGAGCATTATTTTCCCAACTGGTAATACAATCGGGCCCTTATACTTAAGAGTGTTATGCTCTCCATAGCCAGGTTTCCTAATGAGTTCTGGTTTACTTCCATCTAAAGTGTAGTAAATGGAGACCTCAGGTGTATCTGAAAGACACAGAGAAAGTAATCAGCCAAACTGTATTCAGCCTGTGAAAAACAAGTTCTAAGCTTCAAAGTACTTGCTACTGTGCTTGATTTTTCTCACATAAATGAAATAAAGCAGTTTCATACATGACTGAATATTTGGGACCCAAACTCTTCCTCTCATGAAAAATGACTCAACAAATGCAATTTCATTATAAGCAATATTTCTCTGCAATTTCATTATGAGCAATATTTCTCTTCATAAAGAAGCTATGCAATGGTTTTGTATGAAAACATTGCAACAGCTTGTCTGATATAATGACAGAAAAGATATTTTCTCCCACAGTGAAAGGCAGCGTTTCAAAAATTGTAAGGAAAGCCTTTGGGGTGAGGCCAGCACATTGATACTTTCAAGCACTGGTTTTGAAGTCAAAATGCAACAGCTTAAGAGCTTGATCTTGGAAGCAGTTAAGACTGCTAACATATATGAAATAAATCATGTCAATAATATTGTTTGAATGCATAAAATTAAGTGCAAGCATATTTGGTGTATCAAAACATGTTGGTTAATTTTATAAGTTCCTTAGGGAAGTGGGCACGCATAAAAATCGTAATTAAATGCAAACAAAAGTATAGAGGCTCTAAGTTTCAAAAGAACACAGAAGAAAAGGTTTTATATGGAGTCACAGCTCTTATTCATACCTGATTTTATTTCTATGAGAGTATTTGTGTCTATTTCATGTTTAGCCTTCCCTGGAAGAGGGATTCGAAGTGGTATGACCTGAGGAACTGAGACAGAGCCAGCTGTCATTTTCCTCAGCAGCGATCTTTAAAAAAGAAAAACAAAAAGGCAGACAGTAATTTTTCTAAACAGAAGAATGCATTGAGAAATACAGTCTTTTAATGTGATTCCTTGTCTTCATTTGTTTCTCTCAAAAGAGAGAACACCAGATTCTTTAAACTGTTAGTTCTCATTAATGTTTGCATGATTTTCACATTGAAAAGGAGCAAGATCTAAGGCTTGAGATGAGGACTGTCGCTTTCATTTCACTTTGGCCTTCCTTGTTCAAGTTTGATTTCTATGTATTCAAGTGAAACAGCTTTAGCATCATAGATGGGTGATACGTGGTAAGAGTGACAGCAAAGTATCTTGACCCTAATCATGGCAGATGTGGTGTCACTTTCTCTGCAGGAAGAACCAGCCTCCTGTTTCATCATGGCCATCTGAATAAATACAAGATGTTTTGAAAAGGACTAAAGCAAGACAGCTATTCCTAAAGCTTATCTCAGCTGCTGTATGCATTAAGGATATGCCTATAAAACAGGTGCCAAACATGATTTATCATAATTTACATAGTTATTATCATGTCACACAATTCAAGAATGAAAAATTGCATCTGGATACGATAACATTTTACAATACAGAAAGATGTACTCCAGATCTTGGGAATCGATACTCAGGGCCAGGAAACATGTCTACACTAGAAGGATTTGGTTTTGTAACCAACCCTTCAATCGTCCAGAAATGTCTTTTACGCCACTCATCAGTGCAGACAGAAATGATTCAGCACAGGAGGTATTTGTTAGTCCACGCTCTCACAGGGGCTACGACAAGGTATGCCACGGTGCTGCTTGCCACTGCCTATCTCCTTGGCTGGGTTGCCCGAAACAGCGGTTAAGGAGTGCGGGCGGTTCTCAGCCAAACTCCCTTGGGCTGCACGCAGCAGCACGGGAGACGCAATGATGGGTGGATCAGATCTTTACCTGATGCGAGGGGGCAGAGAGTATTTTTCCTCAAGGACCCGCCTGCTCTTGGCACACCTGGACCAAAAGCACAGTGCCCTGTTGCAGCTTTCTGGGAGCCCATCAGTGGTGGGACACAACTGGTTCTGCCGACATCCCCAGCATGCCCGGCCCCTGCCCCAGCGTGGGCTCCCTCCCTACCTAAACGTGCCCTGCCAGGCCAGGCCCCGCTTACCGTCCCCTCACTGCACAGCCCACCCCACCTCACCCCACTCCACCCCTGCAGTGCAGCCCCTG